AAAAAAAAATAATAAAATGTCTGAAAAAATATTCATAAAATGTCCAACAAATATTAATAAATTATACATAAAAATATTAATAGATTGTCAGAAAAAAATATTAATAAAATGACCAAAAAATATTGATAAAATATGTGAAAAATTATTAATAAAAAGTCAGACAAATATTAATAAAACATCTGAAAAAATTATCAACAAAATGTTAGAAAAAAAAATAAAATGTCTGAAAAAATTAATAAAATATCCAACAAACATTAATAAATTGTCCATAAAAATATTAACTGATCATCAGAAAAGATAATAAAATGTCAGAAAAATTTTGATAAAATATGTGAAAGTCAGACAAAAAATAATAAAATGTCTGAAAAAATATTAATAAATTGTCCATAAAAATATTCATAGATTGACAAAAAAATGACAGAAAAAGTATTGATAAAATATGTGAAAAATCATTAATAAAAAGTCCGACAAATATTAATAAAATGTCTGTTACAACCTGGCTCTTTGCTCCCGTCATAATGATTATGGCCACAAGAGGTCGCCGCCCAACAATACACCTGAGCAGCCATTTCTAATTGTAACAGTAGGTGTGGCAGGCCCCTTCTTATCATATGTATGACACTTATATCCACTGATAATGTGGAAAATCAACCAAACACATCTGAATATTCAAGCTGTTCAGAGTCCTGGATGTGTTCACTCTCAGAGCCAGGTGACCGTTGAGGAGGAAGTTGATGTGCGATGGTGACATCGTGAGTTTTATGCAGAGGAAGTAGCAGATTTCTAAACATGAAGTAAAACAGAAGATTAATTGCCACACGCTTCCTGTTTCAAGCTAAACTGCAGAAAGGGAAACACCTGAACCCAAATCTAAATTAGCAGCAGAGCAGAAGAGTGCAACGAAATAAAGCACTTTAACACAGACGGCTGTTAACCCTTTGGTTCAGAGCAGAGCTGCAGCCTCTGTGTGATGAAGTGAGCTCTCAGCAGAGACACAGTTGCATCTCATTTCCTGCTGTAGATTAATTCCTCTCCTCTGAGCCTGTCGAAGGCTTTTCTCTGCTGATGATAAAGAGATCCATGAGTTCTTGACCAGTTTCAGAGACCTCAAGAGCGGTTCACACGTCTTTAAACATATCTACAGATTGTCAACTGGTTCTTAAAGGTAACTCAAGGAGTACTTCAGAGGGCTGTTGAGGTTTCAGAAAGAGCTTCTAGATTTTCCTCAGATCGAAGGGTCCTTGTAGACGTTCATCAATCCCTGCTTCAGTTCCAGCGGGCAGTGATTCTTATCCCTTATTATGTTTTCTTGTATCAGTGTTAAAACTGAATTCTGGGCTTCAGGTTTGCTCCTAAAATGCACACAGATACATCATCACAGTCGGTCCACCCCTGCTGTCCACACGTTGTTTTCTTTCTTCCCAGTGCTTCATCAAAATGTGCTCCCAGCGTGTGAGTTTTGTTTCTGCGACAACAGTATCTTCAAGGAAATGGCCACTTTAGAATGAAAACACAGACAGTACTTACTGACCCTCATGCCGACAAGAAGTCCAGTGTAGTTTTTTAATCCACAAAACTCGTTCGGGGTGTCGGAGGGTAACAGCTAGCCGGCTACACTTGAAGTGCATGGAACCCACATTTTGAAAATGTAATAAAACTCCGCTAATGCATTTCAAAAACGTCAGAACGGCTCGTCCGTCGTAATCCAAGTGCCCTGAAGCCGCGGCATGCACAACTGACTTGAAAAGACGTAATTTACTCCACTTTTACAGCATCATTTCTCACCGTGGTCAGTTAGTCTGCAACTTGCACAAGACTCAAGAACGTTCTCGAGAATGTTCTCGAGTCTCGCGACGAGAGACAAGCCGTTCTGACATTTTTGAAATCCATTAGTGGAGTTTTATTACATTTTCAAAATGACTGTGGACGTGGGTTCCATGCACTTCAAGTGTATGGAAAATTCCGGCTAGCTGTTACCCTCCGATACCCCGAACGAGTTTTGTGGATTAAAAAACCACACTGGACTTCTTGTCGGCATGAGGGTCGGTAAGTACTGTCTGTATTTTCATTCTAAAGTAGCCATTTCCTTTAACACTAACGTTAGCTACGTTAAGGCAAGACCAAAGCGCTAGAACGATAAGCGTTGCTGGTGAGAGGGACGTCTGGGGTGCATTGCTTGGCCTGCTGCCCCCGCGACCCAGCCCTGCAAGCGGATGAAAAGATAGATGGATTTTAGTAACAAGGCAATACAACGTGCTTTACATAAAACATCAAAAGCACTGACGCAAAGTGCGAAAGACACATTATGATGCCATTAAAGAGCTTGAGAATAGAAAATTTAGACCCGTTGCCGCAGGTGTATAAAATCAAGCAACCAGCCATGCAGTCTCCATTTGCACAACATTTGTGATACAAAATAAGTCACTCTGAAGAGCTCAGTGACTTCAAGCGTGGTACTGTGATAGGACGCCACCTTTGTGATAAAGCGGTTCGTAAAATGTCCCTGCTGTCAGTGATATTATCAGAAAGTGGAAGCGTTTAGGAAGAACAGCAACTCAGCCACGAAGCAGAAGACCACGCCGAACCACAGAGTGGGGTCGACAGCTGCTAAGGCGTAAGGTACGTGAAAGTCGCCAACGCTCTGCTGATTCCATCGCTGAAAAGTTCTGAGTTTCCACTGGCATTAACGGAACGAATTTCCAAGGCCGAGCAGCTGCACGCAAGCCTCACATCACCAAGTCCAACGCCAAGTGTCGAGTGGAGTGGTGTAAAGCACACAGACACTGGACTGTGGAGCAGTGGGGTGACGAATCATGCTTCTCTGTGGTCAGATGGGCGAATCTGGGTTTGGCGGATGCCAGGAGAACGTTACTTGCCTGACTGCATTGTGGCAACTGTGAAGTTTGGTGGGGGAGGGATAATGGTATGGGGCTGTTTCGTAGGGTCTGGGCTCGGCCCCTTATCTCCAGTAAGCAATTGAGTTTTGAGTTTGATGAGTTCAGCTGGGAAGAATTTGACAAACCAACCCCATCGAGCACCTTTGGGATGAACCGGAACCAGATTGCGAGCCAGGGCTTCTCCAGCATCAGTGCCTGACCTCGTAAATGCTCTACAGAATGACCCGGCACAGATTACCCCAGAAACACCCAGAAATCTTGTGGAAAGCCTCTGAAGAAGAGTGGAAGCTGTTGTAGCTTGGTGTAATGGTCAGGCCTCCAAATACTTGTGTCCATATAGTGTATTTAATTTGACATTTGATTGTAAAAACACTTCGGCCCCTAAGGAGAGCGTTTGCCTGTAAGGAAATGATTTTTAAAATCTGTAATCATATCTGTACGTGACGTAAACAGACGAATATCTTAAAATGTGACGCCCTGAACTCTTTTACATCCACTCAGAAACTCTAACATTGTTTTTATTCTCTTTATCGTCAGATCAGCTTTTGTTTGCTCGAACTTTGTTTAAACATCAGAGTCAGATTATAATCTCAGACTTGATAAGAAAGCTTTCAGCACCTACACGTTTATTTATGGAGGAATAATGACGAGATAATGCGCTGCTGCTGCTGCTGCTGCTGAAAAAAAACCTGTGAGGGGTCACTTCCTTATTTGCGCCTGACAAAGGTTATAAAGTGAGTAATCAGTCGGCTGCACTCTTTACTCTCCTCCTTCACTGTTTCCTGCTTCCTTCTCTAATATCACTGTAACACACACACACCTACACACACACTTGTTGAGAGGCGCTCATCATGGGGAACTTTGCTGCCAACGAGGGACTCTCCATCTTTGTAATTGTGAGTTTATTTGATTTTTCTCCTGCGTTTATATCTGCTTCTTAAAATCACATTTTTAAAGTGTGTGGATTTGATGGAATCTCAATATATTTCTGTTATTGCATGAAATGTGGCCACAACGTAGAGTTTAAAAAGTGCCAAAAATTTGCATCAAATGTCTGATTGGATCCAAAATATTGCTAACTTAGACAGTTCTTGATTTAAATGAACTTTTATATTGTATTCTATTAAGAAAAATTACATTTTAAGGGCCGCGAGATGAAGATAAAGGAGGAAAAACATGTTTCAACTACAGGTTTTATCTAATCTTTGCTTTTCTTGTGAATTATTGGATCATTTTAGGAATTTGAAAAATGATTCAATGATTCACCCAGTGACAGGAAGGCGTCACGAGACGACAAAACTTTGAACTAAACCCAAAATAGTTGAGAACCGCTGCTGTTTATGAAATTTAAAAGCTCGTCTCTACCTCGTCTGGAGAATAAAATCTGTTGGACATTTTTCAGAAAGTGTGCACAATATTTTTTTTTTTATTGATCTAAACAATTTAAAATTTCAGGAAAAAATTGAATTGAAAAAAAATTGAAAAATTGAAACTTTATTCAACCATATCGCCTGAAAAAAACGTCAGCATCGTTCATTTCTGCAAACCACAGATACATTTGTGAATTATTATGTAGTTGATACGTTGCTGTGGTTAACGTGTTGTCAGGTTTAGGCACAAAAAGCACTTTATGATCAGGAAAAGATCATGTTGTGGCTTCAAATACCTAGTTTTCGTGGCACTATCTCGACAGGAAATGCAGCGATGTCTCTATATCACAACCAGTTTTGTTTTTTTTAATCTTGAGCGACCTTTAGGTGACCTTTAGATGACAGAGTCAGCTCATACAATATGCCATTATAGAAACGCTGATATGATACCGGTGTAAAGTTCATTGACGAAAACTAGGACGAAATTTTTTTGTTAACAACCTTTTTTTCCATGATGAAATCGAGACAATGACGTGCTTAAAATAAATCTTGACAAAAAAAACTAAGACAAAATCTATGTTTCATTTTCATTGACGAGATTGTAATGATCTTCAGATGCCTGATGAGCGACAGGCTGGTAAACTCCAGTAAATAGTCTGCACCAGGATGTTTGGGTTGGTGCGAGTTGTGAGCTGTAACTAAATAATCAGCCGTGTGTGTCTGACTGTGGATGGTGGAGCTGCTGAATGGATCTGTGGAGTTTGTTAGTTGCAGCGGTGGCTGTTAGCAGCTAGCTCCGCTCGCAGCCTTCACAGCTTCACCCCGCAGGACTCCACTCAGTCCGGACTGGAGAAGGTTTGTGGGTTGATGGTGTTTGACAGGCAGGTAGGAGGCTCAGTTATCTGTGAGTGTAGCTGTGCTGTAAGTAAACAGTCTGAACTCAGATCAGTTTTCTCTGACAGAGATGAAAGTTTAGTTTGAATCACCAACTCTGTGAGAGGACACACGAAATGTTTATACACCCTGTCACCTTGATTCTAATTTCTGATACCTCTGTGAGCTTAATTGCTTGATTCAGATGTTTCATCCATGGATTCTGATTTATTGTGATTTATTGGAGTGAAACTTTTGTTTCAACCAGCCATGTGTTTGCATGTGTGTCACAGTTGGTGTGGCTCGGGATCAACGCCTACCTGTTTGTGGAATTCTACATGCGCTTCCTGGTGGAGAGATGGTTTTACACCAGGGTCCTGCTCGGGGTGAGTCTGATTTACACATGCTGATTTTGAATTCATTCATTTCATGAATTACTTTTGGTCTTTTTTGAGCTGACGTTGCACCTTTATCAGCTCTGTCTGTGAGCTACCGTGCAAACCAATCAGACAACTCATGAAGGTTGCATGAAAAGATCCAAAAACAGGACCTGACCCTTTTCACTTCCTCAAACTGCTGTCCTAAAATGTTCCAGATTAACATCATCAAGCTACTTAAATAGCAGACACTGCAGCCCACTCTTCTTTACATCTTCTTCTCTTTTCTTTTACTGCACGTCCTGCAACAGAATGCAGCGTGCATAGCTGGAATCATGATTTAAAGAGTAACTTTTGTAGTTTTCACCTGCCTACACCTTATTGCCTTGTGTTGTTTTTAATGTCTATGTGACAACAATATTTTTTTAAAATCGGTCCAGTATTTCACAAATGTATCGTCAATCTACGTCCACTAAAAGTGTTAGTTTGCCAAAAAAATGCTATAGGCTTGTGCTAATAACGTTAGCATGTTGTATTTGTTTGGAAAACGTGTTTAGTATCAGACAGTTGTTTTGTCAGTGAATGTTGTGAGCTGTAATGGAGCCAAATTATGTGCTGTTGCTGTTGTCGCTGTATTTGTATGAGAAGAGGAAAAGATCACTAGCTGCTAGGCTAATTTATACAATGTAAAACGCCATAGGCTTGTGCTAATAACATTAGCATGTTGTATTTGTGGGGAAAATGTGTCCAGATAAAGACAAGTGTTTGTCTGTGAATGCTGCGAGTTATAGTGAAGCTGATTTGTGTACTTGTGTTTGAAACTGTCTCTATTAAGCCATGTTTAATGTGTGTTTAATGTGTGTTTTGAATCAACTAAACATTACAGCAATTAAATGAAACACGCTGTAAAATATTTGACTGTAAATTACTGGCCACTAGTTGCATCGCTTTGGATCTTTATTAGAGCTTAAAATAAAGTTGAGGGAGTCTGAATGGTGCTGTCCAGCAGGACGGAAATTAAACCATCCGAGATGCAACAGAAAGACAGATTAAGTTTCAGCAGGTGACTCATTTATCTTCCAGTAACACAGTGAGGCAATATAAAACCCTCGACACTTCCCGAAGGCCTCACTATTCAGTCCAGGCAGCCAAACACATCCACACACGCACTAATCGCAGCTTATCACCACCACCTTCTAGCCACGCCTCGCCGTGAGGGGAAGCAGGTCTGACGCGAGCGTTAAAGTTTGCTCTGTGGTCACAGCTGGCTTCACGTTACACTGAGTCAACACCGGCGGCTGCACAGCTGCATCCACCTGAGCAGAACTGAAACAGAAATCTGCCGCTTTCATTCACTTTTCTTATGAGCACCAAATATAGAAAGACAGGAACCAGTATTCAAAGTCGCGGCTTTACACTCATTTACAGAGCTTTAAGGGGTAGAGTGAACAGTATAAAGTAATCTGATTACACTTTGAAGTAACCCAACACTGTGTCTGTCCCATCAGCAAGCTCTGCCCTGGGCCCGAGCTCCGGCTGCCTGCCTCAACTTCAACTGTATGCTCATCCTGCTGCCGGTTTGCAGAAACCTCCTTTCCTTCCTCCGAGGCACCATCCAGGTAAAAACACCAAACAGCAGACTAGAGTCACAGATTTGATGACTTTAGACCTGGTAAAATCCAAAGTACCAAGTCTTGATGAAGATGTGGACGCCTGATAAAACAACTCGAGAACGCACCTCAGGAAAGTCCACAATGCTGATCTGTTTTCCTGACGCAGCCAGTCGCAGTTGATTTGCTACATCTTTCGAAACGTCTCCTGAATTCAATCCTTACTCATGACTTGCAGAACAATGTGTTGATCCCACCTCTACCAAACCAACACATACTCACTGTGACCAAGTCACATGTCCACGTTTGGTCATGGACTTTCCACGTCCACATAAGACGTCCAAGGTACCCTGGGTGTGTTGGTTGTTGACGTTCTGGGACGCCGTGTCAACTTCAGCCTGTTACATGCATTGTCTGTTTTCAAAATACACTTCTGTTTTCACAGGAAATGTACAGTTTGATACAGTCTCTTTCAGAATAAAAGCACTACATCGGTACACCTCAACAACAAAAGCACGTGGTTGGGTTTATGAAAAAAAGAGAAAACCGCCCTCCCGGGTCGGTGGTTGTTGGACCCATCCACCACCTTTCCCAGCCACCCTAGTCAGCCTTCTCTGACGCCCTTAAAGGGATAGTGCACCCAAAAATGTAAATTCAGCCATTATCTACTCACCCATATGCCGAGGGAGGCTCAGGTGAAGTTTTAGAGTCCTCACATCACTTGCAGAGATCCAAGGGGAGAGGAGGTAGCAACACAACTCCACCTAATGGAGGCTGACGGCGCCCCAGATTCAAACGTCCAAAAACACATAATTGAAACCACAAAATATCTCCATACTGCTCGTCCGTAGTGATCCAAGTGTCCTGAAGCCCCGACATAAAAAGCTGTTTGGAAAAACCTCATTTGAACTCTGTTTTTAGCCTCATTGTAGCCTGTAGCTCTGACTGCCTCTCTTTTTATGTCGGGGCTTCAGGACACTTGGATCACTACGGACGAGCAGTATGGAGATATTTTGTGGTTTCAATTATGTGTTTTTGGACGTTTGAATCTGGGGCGCCGTCAGCCTCCATTAGGTGGAGTTGTGTTGCTACCTCCTCTCCCCTTGGATCTCAGCAAGTGATGTGAGGACTCTAAAACTTCACCTGAGCCTCCCTCGGCATATGGGTGAGTAGATAATGGCTGGATTTTCATTTTCAGGTGCACTATCCCTTTAATTTATGTCGTTGTCCCACCTTACACTGCTGGGTGCCGTTAAACAACAAAGGCAGCCAGCTGCATATCAAGCCGACGTAAGGGACGTTTTTGTTCGTTGGTGTCAGACACCAACGAACATGAGGACAAGAGGACATGGAAAGACCTTGAACAAGCGTTGAGACGCAGCGTTGTCGGAGTGAGGTTGTTTTTTACAGAGATGTTGCTTTTTCAGTGGAAACAGTGTCCCTGAAACTGCGTATTTTATTTTAAGCCAAACATGATCTTTTCTTAACAGCAACAGTCGTTTTTCGTGCCTAAACCAAACCAAACGTTACCCACAGCATTGTCGATATATCAGCTAAATAACGTACAAATGTAATGTATCCATGTTTTGCAGACGTATGACGCTTGTATCCACTGATAACGAACATTTAAAGCCCTGATAACAGCTGAACTGTTTAGTCAGGCCGCAGTTTAGGAGGAACACCCACTCTACTCGGACTTTCGTCGCCTTAACTTTCGTTTGTGTCCTGCCGCGTTTCCCCCTGACGCTGCCAAAAATCATTAAACTGTAACAGCGACCAGCCGCGTATCAAGCTGACGTTAAAGGACGGAGTGAAACTGGGTTGGCTATACAGCATTAAAAAATTCAGCGATGTAGTCCAGGACTGAATTTATCTGCTAACACAATTTTTGTTGTTGTTCGGGTTTATTTTTAATATTGCAATATTTGTCTGTCTTGTTTGCATTCAGTGCTGCAGCCGCACAGCTGCTCGCCAACTGGACAGAAACCTGACTTTTCACAAGCTGGTGGCGTACATGATCGCCTTCCATACAGGTATTGATTTTACAGAAGACGTTAGCGAGTGTTGAGAGATAATAAAATGATGTCAGATTTTTCTTCACTGATTCTGAGGAAGTTATACAACAGTTTCCGACAAAGCACGACTTAAAATATGTTCATTGAGGGGTCTTTAATTAAGAATCAAACGGAAAGTAACAAAAAACAAATGTCCTCATGAGACCCACACTTTTGTTTGGTATGCATTTTTAATTTCTCTTAGCTATTTGGGATCAGTAGGACCTGATAAGTATAAAATCTAAACATTGTCAATGATCTCAATCTCAAGTCTTAATGTCCTAAAAGGAGACGATAATAAAGTCCCATTGTCCTCAAACAAGTACTTCCTAATTGACAGTGTCTTATCTTGTCTCTCTTCTTCCTCACGCCTTCACAGCCGTGCACATCGTCGCCCACTTGTTCAACTTCGAGTTTTTCATGGACGCCCAGCTGAATCGAAACAGCAGCTGGCTACCCTTCGTCCTGTCCGAAATCGGCACCAATGACAACGCCGCCTTCCTGAACCCCATCAGGACCAACAAGACGGTGAGTCGAGGTTACAGCAGAGTTCATACATGTAGTCGGACGCTTCTTCTTGAGTTGCTCAAATCTGTGAAATCCAGCAGCTTGTTGCCAAATTTGGTGTCAGAGTTAGAAAAAAAAAGAGTATTACTTCATATAACAAACTTCCTCTTTGGAGGTATTTGTCCTCAGAGATTGTGTCATTCAGAGAAACTTCCTCTTTAAAGTACTGAGCGTTTCTTTGAAAGATGTTTTGTGTCATCACAATATAAACACGAAGCCTCTTGTGGGCTTTTCTCATGTGGTGTGTGGAGGAACTGTGGCAAAACAGACGGCGGTAGATGAGGGAAGTTAGCCAACGAACACAACCTGCAGGGGTGTGATTCAAGTGGAAACAAATGTTTGAGGTGACGACCCTGTGACCACGACCCACGCCATGACTAATGCGTGCTATTTGTGTGTTCGATGCAGAACCCTACCATCGTCATGTTCACCACCATCGCCGGGCTGACGGGCGTGGCCATAACGCTGGCCCTCATCCTCATCATCACTTCATCCATGGAGGTCATCCGCAGGTCCTACTTCGAGGTGTTCTGGTACACCCACCATCTCTTCGTAATCTTCTTCATCGGGCTGGTGTTCCATGGGGCCGGGTAAGAAATCTGCATTTATGTACTGTCTGCTAGCCTTGAACGCTACGAGCTCCACCTACAATAACCATAATCATTCCTCCTCTGCAGGCGGATTGTGCGAGGACAGACGGCCGCTAGCCTGAAGACAAACGACCCCCAAGTTTGCGCCAAACAGTTTGACAACTGGGGAAAGAACGGGTCCAACTGTGCCGTCCCAGAGTTCGCTGGAAACCCACCAGGGGTGAGCTTCTAGAGACCGTGGGGTGTTCATGGGAAACACTCATCTCAGTCCAATACTTTAAGTATGTTACGTCTTTTATTCATGTCTGCATACTTTTTCCAACTTTTACCTTTTCTCCAGACGTGGAAGTGGGTGGTGGCCCCGATGTTCCTCTATGTGTGTGAGAGGATCATCCGCATTTATCGATCTCACCAGAAAGTGGTCATCACCAAGGTGTGTATGCTGTAATAAACAGTCAACTACAGGGAGTTTTAAAGGTTCTGTAAGTTGCTTTTGACCAGTATCGATTGGTTTCATTGCCAATGGGCGAACATAACGTTAAAATCTGAGACCTTCCCCGACGTTCTCAGTTGCCTCTGTAACAGCCTGTAGACTGAATGCTTGGCCGAATTTTCTGAGAAAGTCCAAAGGATGTCACGCAATGCGTCTTCCTTAGTGTCTTGTCTCTCTAACAGTGCGCAACAATAGCTAACATTAGCTAAGACATGGAGTCTGCTAATGTCCGCAAAAGGCCGAGATGGACCTTTACCGTGCACCCAACTCCCCCCGATTAGCAAACTTTCTGTTGCTGCCATCACATAGATTTGACCCTGAGCTACTGCTGGCCATCAGTCCAATCTGAACCCTACGGTTGGGTTTTCCGCTGGCTGAATTCAAGTTGCTACAGCGGCTACGATCCAAGCTCACGTCCACTGCCCTCCCAGGGAAGTAGTGTCCTAGCAGCACGGAGTGAGGCCGAGGGTCGGTGAGCTGTGCTAACGAGCTGATACTGCTAAGGTTACAAAGCAACCAACACCAGATCAATGCAGCATAGCTTAGTTAAAGCTAGCTCGTTACCTTAGCTTACTTACTCACTAATATTATCACTAGCAAGTCGGTGAAGATGTGTGGACATCGCATTTTGAGTTTACTTGACCTGTTGTCCTTGTTCATGGACACTTTTTGTGCCATCTAGTGGCAGTACGAGCACACTACACTAATCCACGTAAAAACAAGATGGCAGCCATCTCTGCCAAGTCAGTCTGCAGCAGATCCAAACACAAAAGTGGACGAGGTGATCAGATGTTATGGTTGGAACGTGTTTATGTATGATTAATAATGTTTGTAGTTTGATATGGCAACAAAGTTGACCACTTTTAGCAGCAGGAACAAGATAAGACACTGTTAATTAGGAAGTACTTGTTTGAGGACACTGGGACCTTATTATCATTGACATTGTGTAGTTTTTATACTTATCAGTTGCCACTGATCCCAAATAGCTAGGAGAAGTTAAAAATGCATACAAAACAAAAGTTCGGGTCTCAAGACTTTAAGGTTCACTCGTTCAAACTTTCATCCATGTTTAAGTGTCTGCAAAACTGTACATTTGTCCCACTCGTCCAACACATTGGTATAGAATAAACACCAAATCTAGATGACTCTTAAAATCAAATTATTTATGTGTTTTTTGACATATCACTTCCAATTATCAGAGTTTGAACTGTGGGTCGCACAAAAACAAGACATTTGCAGACGTCAGTTTGGGCTCTGGGAAGTTGTGATCGACACTTTCTTGAACAATTGCAAAGAAACAAAGACAAATCAATAATGAAAGTACTTTTAGTTTCAGCCTGTTTTTGACAAAGAAGCCTCGATAAAAGGGCCTAATTATAACTAATAACCGCGTACCTGTCCCTCAGGTGGTGATGCACCCCTCCAAGACTCTGGAGCTGCAGATGAAGAAGAAAGGTTTCCACATGGAGGTGGGTCAGTACGTCTTCATCCAGTGTCCGTCTGTCTCCAGGCTGGAGTGGCACCCCTTCACCCTGACCTCCGCGCCCGAGGAGGACTACTTCAGCGCCCACATCCGTATCGTTGGAGACTGGACCCAGGAGCTGTACGAGGCCTGTGGAGGAGACAAAACGGAGCCTCAGGAGGCCTGGAAAATGCCCAAGTATGACAACAGGGGAAGGGGGTGATAAAAAAGGCCTGAAATTGCTCATGATTACATGATTGCACCCTCCGCCTGCTCAATGCAGCACTGCTTAGAAGAGCTGCCAACAGGGGTCACATTTACAGCCCTGAGGGGTTCATTGTCAGTGCTGGTGACGGTTGGTGGAGTGGAACTCAGACAATACTGTCCGCCAATATCAGATCAGATTGCCCACAGTGGTCCTGCTGAGTAAGCTGGAGCATTTTCCGGTTCTGCTTTCAGACAAGAAAAGGAAAGAACAAGGCTTTTATTAAGAGCTGCAGAGATATACTTTGACTGTATTTGCTAAACAACTATCAGGTTTTCACACATGCTTGAAAAAACATTTTTGGCTTGTGACATCGTTCAAAAAAGCCGACGTCTAGATGCTTTCTATCGTCATGTTTTAGGTGTTTGAGTTGTTAAAGGGTAACTTTGGTATTTTTCAACTATGAGCCAAACTTTTAATGGTTTAGTGTCTAGTGGGAACACATTTTTAAAATTCCTCCAGTATTGACAGACAGCGCTGCAAAACAAGCTGCAATGTAACCACACGTTCAAAACATCAGTGCACGTTCACTAGAGTGTTCTTGTCACTGACAGGCTCAGGCTGTTCCCCTCGAAATACTGGACAAATTTCAAAAATGACGCACAGAGACTTTTAGACACGCTGATGGATAAAATGTTTGTGTCTCCCATCATGACCAGTTTCTCTTGTGATGTTCCTCAGGGTGGCCATAGACGGGCCGTTAGGTACGGCCAGTGAGGACGTGTTTCGTTACGAGGTGGTGATGCTAGTGGGCGCGGGAATCGGCGTGACTCCCTTCGCCTCCATCCTCAAGTCTGTGTGGTACAAACGCATCCAGAACAACCAGGACGTCTTCACCAAGAAGGTGAGGGAGACCTGAACACTGACAAAAGACCTCTTACGAACTTTTGGCGTGGTCCTCACTCAGGAAGAATTTGGACCCTAAAGTATCCCTCTGAAGTCTTGGATACATCCTTGATATTAGCTCCAGCCTACCACAGTTAGTAAAGTGACCCTTGTGTGTTGCCGTCCTCCAGATCTACTTCTACTGGCTGTGCCCGGAGACGCAGGCCTTCGAGTGGTTCGCCGACCTGCTGCAGTCTCTGGAGGGTCAGATGGCGGAGAAGGGCGTGACCGACTTCCTCAGCTACAACATCTACCTCACCCGCTGGAAGGAGACCGAGGTGCGGCCGGCATGTTGGAAACATCTGCTAAACTTGAAACTGAAACTGCCCGTGGTGCAGGGTTTTTGAAAGTCTGTGTTTTTCTCCATCAGGCGGCGCACTTCCGTGTTCACCACGAGGCTGAGAATGACCCAATCACAGGGCTCAAACAGAAGACGCTGTACGGGAAACCCAACTGGGACAACGAGTTCACCAACATCGCTTCAAAGCACCCGGGGTGAGCAAGTGTCCCGTCATTTTCACACTGCATACACACTGTGTATACACACACACTGTACACACTGCACACTGTGCGCGCACACACACACACACACACACACACACACACCACACTGTACACACTGCATACACACAGCATACGCACTGCACTCTGTTCACACTGCATACTCACTGGACACTGCGCACACACACACTGCATACACACTGCACACGTCATACAGACTGTGCACACTGCATACACACTGCACACTGTTCACACTGCATACACACTGCACACTGTTCACACTGCATACACACTGCACACACACACACACTGCATACACACTGCACTCTGTTCACACTGCATGCACACTGCGCACTGCACACACTGTACACACTGCACACACTGCATACACACTGCACACACTGCATACACACTGCATAAAACACTGTACACACTGCATACTGTACACACTACATAAAACACTGTACACACTGTACACACTGCATACACACTGCGCACACTGCCGACACACTGCACACACTGCCTACACACTGCACACACACTGTAAAAGCTGTGTATAAAGCTGTGTTTTCTGTCCTCAGGACCAAAGTGGGCGTGTTCCTGTGCGGCCCGCCTCAGCTGGGGAAATCTCTGGAGAAACAGTGTCTGTCTCACTCTGAGGCCGACGTCAAGTTCATCTTCAACAAGGAGAACTTCTAACGGCGCCCGGCAGAGACAGAGGAAACATCCAAGTACTGAGAGCAGCAGCGGCGGAGCTCATGACACACGTCACACCACACACGCCTGTTATTTTAAACATTTACAGCCGTAACCATGGCAGCCCATCGCCAGCCTCTGCTCTGCTTCTCACCACGCTCGTTTTGCAAAGACCCCGCTGTTGCTCAAAAATGGAGGATGTGGTATTTTCCACATTACCTTCTTCTCCTTTTGTGTTACAACAATAAGTGAAACTGTTGCTCTCAAAACTTTTCTTCCTATTTCTGTTTGTTGATGCCAGAGGTCCAAAAGTTTTGTGTGCTGCAGTGGAGCTGATGAGAAGCTTCAATGTGCTGAAAACAAGTATCAAAAACAAACTCAAGCTTTCGAGGGTTTTTTTGTGCTTTGCTCATAAAAAAAGAAAATGCTTGCTGTGCCTTTTTATTGTTGCTAAGCAACCATGCCATCACCTCCTCACCCTAACCTTCCTGTGTCATCAATCTACTGTAACTTTTATTGTATGTATCCTGCAGTAATCAGTGTGTAGATGCTGCCATGTTGAGGCAGAGGGTGCTGTATGTAGCTCTGGTTGAGGGTGAGAGGCTGTCAGCAGATAAACAGAGATCTGTGTGGGTACATGAGACCCTAAAAAAGAGGCTGGATCATGGGGAGTACCACCAGTTGGTCCAGGAGCTTCTCCTCCATCATGGACGTTTACAGGCAGATTTTAGGATGACTCGGGGGCAGTTTGACAACCTGCTGTCTATCATCAGGCCATATAGCTCTGGGTATCCAGGAACCACTACCACCAGTTTCTCCTCCATCGTTTACCAACTGTAAATTTGTTGACATGACCACCACAGAAGCCCCGCCTTTCAAATCCTCTGATTGGACAATGGGGAAAACGTGGAGAATGTGGGCCACTTCTCCGCTCTGAGTTTAGGGTTTTGTCAAAGCGAGGAGTTCAAAGTGCTCCGGCAAAAACACCAGGTGCCTAGAGTGAAGAAATGCTCGGCGCATAAAACAGCGAGCAAAAAGCGCCATCCTCATTAAACCAGTCTATCGGCCAGTGGAAGTATATAACATGTGGATAACCAAACTTACACTCAAATAAACCTCTTTAACAACAGAAAGAAACACCAGGACTGCTCCCTGTGGCACACCATGCTCATGTCAAGTTAAAGTCATTATTAAGCTGCAGCTTCTCTGTGTGAAGGTTTTGTTTTACATCACTGTAAACTGATCAGACGCCGTTTAGACGTCACCTCTGTCAAACCAGTGATGTGTATTTCTGTCACCACTCACACTGTGTTGTGTCTAATTATTGTTTTGCACCCAGCTCCAAGTGAAATCCCTGTTTCGGATAATAAACTTTGAATTCTCAGAGAAGTTTTGTCGCAGTTTTATTTTCAGCCTAAATGGTTCTTCAGCCAAATAAACTCTTTAAAAACCCTCTTAGATCAGCTGCACCGTCACAGGATGGCCACATTACAAATATATGATGATCTTATAGACCATGATGCATTGCTGTAGATGAAACGACCCAGCAGGATATGATAAAATAAATAATTATTTCAAATATTATTTGTTTTTGAGACCATATTGTATGCTATTACTTGCCTGTAATAAAAAAGAAATGAATAAAATATTTTTTAATTTAATATTTTTTGTTTTGTTTTTGTGTGTATTATTATTACGCTGTAATTAATTCAAAGACTAAAATAAATTTAAATAAATAACTATTGCCTGTAATTAACTTAAATAATAAAATAAATACATAATTATTTGCCTGTAATTAACTTAAAGTATAAAATAAATAACTATTTGCCTGTAATTAATTTAAAGAATAGATTAAAAAAATATATTTGCCTGTAATTAATTCAAAGACTAAAATAAATTTAAAAAAATAACTATTTGCCTGTAATTAACTTAAAGAATAAAATAAATAATTTGCCTGTAATAATTTAAAGAATAAATTAAAAAAAAATATTTGCCTGTAATTAATTTACAGAATAAAATAAATAATTTGCCTATAATTACTTTACAGAATAAAATAATTTGCCTGTAATTAATTTACAGAATAAAATAAATAATTTGCCTGTAATTAATTTACAGAATAAAATAAATAAAAAAAACAATTACTTGCCTGTAATGAATTAAAAAAATAAATAAAATAAAATAATTATTTTGTTTTGTTTCATTTTTCTTTGTAAGACTATATTGTGTATCATTATTTGGCTGTAAAAAAAACTAATAAAATTAAAGTAGAGGTACTCATTGTGACCCATGTCAGAGTAATGTTTTACTGAAGCTGCAGCTGGTAAAAGTGCAGCGAACAGACAAACTTCATCTGTGATTGAACAGTTGAAGTAAATTTGTTTGCCTCTGAACTGTGGTGTAAAAAGAGTCAGATAAAGTGGGTGAATGTGTTTGCTGACGAACATAATGAGCATTAGAGGATCTGAACGATGGAGAAAAACTGAGGAAACATGAATAAAGGAAACATGTTGAACATCAGTGTGATAAATAAACATGTTGAAGAAATGACTGGACACTGTTTGCTCATAAATGTCTTCATGTTTATTTTCCTGCAGCTGAGTACAAAAATCCTCTCTGTCTGTCTGGTGTTGACATGATGCACATGATAACCACAGAAGAAGAAGAAGGTTAGCAGCTGCTGCATGCTGCCAGGCGTCAGCGACACACACACAGCTCACTGTGACACATGAAAGCACTGCAGTGACGGCAGATAAAGAGAAACACATGAGGTCATGCATCTGAAGGCTGAAGAGTTTCCTCAGAGGTCAAAGGTCAAGCTTCCATCTGTGTGGCACTCTGTGGCCCCCTGCTGTCCACAGGGACACACTGCACCGCTGCTCCGCTGCTACTCATCCTTGTTTATATACATATGCGTGTCTGTGTGTGTGTGTGTGTGTGTGTGTGTATGTGTGTGTGTGTGTCCTATGCAATGGCCACAGCAAACACACTGACCACACAGTACATGGTGCGGTTCTCCCATCTCACTGTGCAGCTTCCTGTAAACACAAACAAACAAACAAACAAACAAACAGGTGAGCTGAAGGTGGAGCGTTAACTTGGAACACTCATCATCACAGCAGGTGGGAGCTCCTCTTACCGTCCATGGCCGTGTCCCAGTAGCAGGAGTTAGCTGTGTGGAGGCCCGCTCCTGTTTTCTGCATCACAGCACACGTCACTGTGCGGAGAGACACACAGCAACAACTTAACTCCATGTTACGCAGCCACGTCTGTCACGTGTCATTTCGCACACCACACTTACCGATGTACTTGTAGGGTTTGCCCTGTTTGACCAGCTGTGTGAGGCAACGCTCCACCACGCTCGCCGTCCATTTGTTCACCTGGGCCTGGCTGTAGTCGTCGCTGCCCACCACGTTCTCAATACACTGAAACACACACACACACACACACACACACACACACAGAGTCATGAGACAACAGCTGAGTGGTCATGTGTCATGTGGGAGTCACCGGGTGCTGCTTCACCCTGAGGAGCAAACAGCACTGTTCCAAAACTGAGCAGCACAAACATCAGGTTATTTTCTTTAACGTGCAGCAGAGGAACAGCGCTGAAGATGAACCAACGCCACTAAATCCTGCTGAATCTGACACACTGCATCTTTAAAGCTGCGGGAACAACAGAGAACTTAAAGGGTTAACTTCACCTCTTTGACGATGGTCTCAGCTTCTTCAGAGTTGAAGGAGCCCTGGAAAATCATTGACACACAAATATGAGTCGATACACAGTTTATACATTTAAAAACTACTGGAAAAACTTTAACTACAGTATCACTGTACACTATCATGGGATCTGTAAATATATAACACCGTCCATAAACACACAAAAAAATTGTAAACTCAAAAATATTTCTCAAATTTACAACTGCAAAAACACAAATAAATTCCACTATTAAATTTTTGTTTGAAGTTATTAATATGAGGAAGATATTCTCTATTTTTTTTAATTTACTTGTAAATGAATAATGTCTTCACAGATTTTTTTAAGTTGTGTTTTTTGCAGCTCAGTTTTATTTTTGCAAATAAAAACTGGATTCCCAAATATCTTCTTTTAAAAGTTGTAAATGTTAGAAAGATATTAATTTCTAAGTTAATTAAATGTTTTCAAAGATATTCTTTTTATTCATGGCTTTTGTGAATTGCAGATCTGTTTCATTTTTGCAAAATATTTTGGTTTACATGTTTTATATTTCTATATTTTATGTTTGCAACATTTGTTTTTTTATATGTTTTAGAGTTTTTATTTTATGTTTTATATTTGCAAATTTTTTTGTTTTATATTTTTATATTAGCAAATTATTGTTTTTTATATCTTTTATATTTGCAAATGTTTTTGTTTTATATTTTCCAAATTTGTTTTTTTTATGTTTTATATTAGCAAATTATTTTGTTTTTTATGTTTTATATTTTTATATTAGCAAATTGTTTTTTTATGTTTCATATTTTTATATTTGCAAATTATTTTGTTTTTTGTGTTTCATATTTTTATATTTGCAAATTATTGTTTTTTGTTTCATATTTTTATATTTGCAAATTATTTTGTTTTTTATGTGTTTCATATTTTTATATTTGCAAATTATTTTGTTTTTTATGTGTTTCATTTTTTATTTGCAAATTATTTTGTTTTTATGTGTTTTATATTTTTTATTTGCAAATTATTTAGTTTTTTATGTGTTTCATATTTTTTTCCAAATTATTTCACTTTTTATGTTTCATGTTTGAAAAATATTTAGATTTTTATGTTTTATATTTTTGTATTTGCAAAATATTTCTTTGAAGTTGTTAGTGTTAAAAGATATTAATTTATAAGTTAAGAAATGTTATGTTCAGATATTAATTTTTATTTGTGTAATTTGTGAATTGCTGATGTTTTATATTTGCAATTTTTTTTTTTTAATTTTCCAGTTTTTTTTGTCTTTGTGTAAATGGTTTTATATATTTACAGACTGCACATTTACACACAGACTCTTCACAGATATAATACACACACATGTATCTCCACACAGACAGAAGCCTGTGACGGTCACAGGGAACAAATGTAACTTTAATGCTTTAACTACATTTTCCTACAGTAACAGTTTAACTTTTTTTACTCTTAGCTCCAGTCAAGGCTCTGAACACTTCCTGCACTGACATTACAATCACTGTGAGCTCAGGTTTTAGCACAACAATCTCAGTTTAGCATTAAATTCACGGGTTATTAATCGTCACTGTGTCGCTTTCACACCTCAGGAAACACCATGACAATGCAGACAGTTAACTCTAAACATAATGCGCAACATTATATAATAATTTCACACCGAAAAAAAAAAAAAATCACCGTTAGCATCAGAATTCCTTCAGGACATAACGTTAGGAGTGGCTAGCTAACGGAGCTAGCCGCTGTAAGCTAGCTCCTGTCTACCGTGATTTACCCCAAAATAAGAGGATTCATGGACAAACCTCGCTGCCGTTATGATATTCCTCCATCCTGTCATCCACCGCCGACACTAAGTGTCCTCACTCTTTGTTTTACCGTTGAAAACAGAGGGAAAGGTGAAGTTTTCCCGGAGAACAAAGCGGAGCCGGTCGGGACTTCCTGTGAGCTGTCAACAGCAGAGTCAACGACTACCACAATAAAGAGCGGCGAAGAAGAAGAAAGCGGTGAGCTCACTGCTGCCACCTGCTGTTAGCATCAACACATGGCAGCGGTTTAACGGTAATTCACCGAATTTTTAACGTGAATTTGCCGCATTAATACGTTTATAACGCGGTGAGAAGATACATACAAACACTACACATAATGTGATGTGACAGGACTTTAACAATATCTCCTTAAACTGAAATGTGGCGTTAGTTTCCTCCCTCAGGTGTGATTAACAGCAGATGTGCCAGGTTCGCCTCCACTTCTTCTTCTCTGCTTTTTAATGGCGGTTGGTGTCTACATGACTGACAGCTGCTGCCACCTGATTGGCTGATTAGCTACGAGCAGGTGTACCTAATAAAGTGGCAGGTGAGTGTTTATAATGTGACAGTGTCAGATATTAAACGTGTCCACAGTCCCTGTGAGCAGAACTTCAAATGTAGCTGCCGCCATCTTGTGGCGCTATGACGTCACTACAACACCCATGTGACTGAAACAGGACAACAGTTGACAGAGTGATCCAGAGCGACAAGGTGTCGAAAATAAAATTAACATATTGTTAAATTAATTAAATCAATGTGATGAAAATACAAATTATTTTATTTTATTTATTTTGAAATTCTGTAACTTAAATTTTTGGATGTAAATTGACCAGTTTGTTCATTAAAAATGTATTTAATTAATTAATTATTACTATCTTTTTTTTTTTATTTTTTATTTTTGACACTTAATTTTTTGGATCTGAATTTGACCAAATAAATTTGAGTGGCCTGAATCTGTTTTTATTTTTATTTTATTTTATTTTATTAATGACTGTTTTTGTTTATTTTGAAATTCTGACACTTATATTTCTGGATTTGAATTTGACGAATCAAATTTGAGTGGCATGGATCTATTTTTTTTTATTTTACTGATTTTATTGTATTTAAATTAATTAACTAATTTATTTATTTTGAAAATTTTGAAAATAAAATTATGATATTGTTTAATTAATTAAATTTAGGAAATGAAAATACAAATTATTTTATTTATTTTACTTAATTTTATTTGAATTAAATAATCACTTAATCTTTGGGAAATTATGAAACTTAAATTTATTGAATTTAAGCAACTATTTTTTGTAAATTAATTAATTAATTTATTAATGTTTTTATTTATTCTGAAATTATAAAACTTGAATTTCTGGATCTGAATATTTTGGATATTTTATTTCAATTAATTAAGTAACTAATTTATTTATTTAAAAAATTTGAAAATAAAATGATTATATTGTTTAATTAATTAAATTTAGGAAATGAAAATACAAATTATTTTATTTTATTCATTTCGAAATTCTTAAACTTAAAATTTTGGATCTAAATTTGAGCAAATTAATTTGAGCATCATGAATCTATTTTCCCTTCTGTCATTTTATTTTTTTATTTTGAAACTAATATTTTTGGATCTAAATTTGACGGGTCAAATTTGAGCAACCGGAATCTATCTATTTTTTAAAAATTCAATGTAATTAATACGCAACCCTCAATCTATTTTTTTTTACTTCATTTAATTTCATTTTATTTCCATATAGTAATTAAGGTTTTTATCTATTTCGAAATTCTGAAATTAAAATTTTTGAATCTGAATTTGAGTGGCCTGAATCTATATTTTTACTGTACTTAATTTTATTTAAATTAATCTATTACTTAAATTTTTTGAAATTATGAAACTAATTTTTCGAATTTGAGAAACTTTTTTTTTTGTAAATTAATTAATTTATCTATTAATGAATGTTTTTATTTATTTATTCTGAAATTCTAAAACTTGAATTTCTGGATCTGAATATTTTATTTTAATTAATTAAATAACTATTTATTTTGACATTCTGGAACTAAAATTTTTGAATCGGAATTTGACCAGTTAAATTTGAGTGCCCTGAATCAATTTTTTAATTTTACTTATTTTTATTTTATTTTACTTTTCTTTATTTTATCTTATTTAAATTAAATAGTTACTTAAATTTTTTGAAATTATGAAACTTAAAGTTTTCGAATTTGAGCAACTATTTTTTTTTAAATTAATCAATTTATTATTAATGAACGTTTTTGTTTATTCTGAAATTCTGGAACTTAAATTTCTTGATCTGAATATTTTGGATATTTTATTTCAATTAATTAACTCATTTATTTATTTTGAAAATGTTGAAAATAAAATTATTATATTGTTAAATTTATTAAAGTATTAAAAATGTACATTATTCTTGGTTTGCATGCGTGTTTATCAGGAGTTTATCCTCCGCGGCCTTTATTTAATAAAATACAGTATTTAATTTTAACGTGAAACATCTGAAAACTGCAGAAACGACTCGTGTTCAGCTTTAATATCAAAAGGCTTTACTGATATCACAAAAGAGTTAAATGAGATTTTATCATGTCAGAATATAAAACTGATCACATTAAGAAAAGTGCAGATGTGCTCCACGTCACAATAAATAAGATTATTTACATCCTCACAGTTTAAATCTCACACACACACACACACACACACACACGTCGAGGCTCAGGTAGGAAATATGTGCCACACAACAAACCACGTCACACGTTAGAGTCAAAAAGGTCCCAGTAACACGGAGGCACTGGTCATACTGGAGGCTCAGCTGTAGGTCACTTGTGAACAGATAGTGGTTGATTTGAGGCTGCGTCACACAGGAGGCGTGTCGCTGGGAAGTGTGACATCATCAGTCCGGCTCACTGATGCTGTTTAAAGGAACGCTCCGCGTAAAATCTTTATCACAGCAGATACAGCGGCTTCAAACGGAGACACGGAGGGAAAAGAGTGTGTAAAAGTGTCTACAGAAACTTTTCTGGAGCTGAAATGAAGAATTATTTCAAAGATTATTCAACAAATAGAAAATTAATCTGCAATCAATCAACTATCTGAGTATTATATAAGTATAAAAGACAAAATTTGCTGGTTCAAACTCTCAAGTGTGAGTAAATAATTAATTTAAAGACGTCTCTTTGGGTGTTTCTAGATATCTTACACACCAAACACTTCACTCGGAATCTGATCTGTCTCTACGGAGCTTCAGACGTGTTTTACTGCTGTGAAAAACATTTTCAGTGAGTTCCTTTAAAGAGTCGTTCATGGAGCAAATATGAGACATAAATATTTGAATTTCAGCAGCAGCTGGAGACTTAATGTTGACACAAACACCACTGGATTCATTTCAAGTGTTTCACTCTGAAAACCATGCGTCTGAATTTATTTGTTGTCAGTTCATCTTTTCAAAATTAGACTATGAAGTTTCTCGATTTGCAATATCAAATGCTGAATTTGAGGTTTGTTTTTTTTTCCCAACGTTCACTTGAGTGTTTAGATTCTAAAATTCTGACACTAAAATTTTCAGATCTGAATTTGACCAAATGAATTTAAGCAACATGAATCTTTTAATTTATTTTATTTTTCATTTTTATTTTTATTATTGATTTAATTTAATTTATTTATTCTGCAATTCTGAAACTTAAATTTAAAGCCACCTGTATCTATGTTTTGGGGGGTTTTTTTGTAAAAAAAAAAAATTTCAATTTTTTTTTAAACACAATCTGACCAATTCCGTTTGAGTGGCCTAAATC